CCTAAGACATCAAAATAGATTACCTGCAGTTTTTGAAATTAATTTTCTGGGTATATAATCTCATACCTTTGTTTTGTTCAGAACTGGTTTTACCTCACAAGTCAAGGAAGGCTCAATGAACATGTAATTTACAACTACCTTACAGAGATGATTTTGTATCAAACAGAAAAATGTGTCTCCACAAATCAGCAGTAAGCAAAGGTTCAGGAAAAGGATTTAAGCAAGTGCTTTACTTAAAGTATCAATTAGTACTTTCTGTGGCAACAAGCACAGTAACTTTAATCAAGGCTTGCTAAAATGTCCTCCCCAATCAGTTTAACTTTCCTTGCCAACAAAAACGTTGAAGCAGCAGCAAAAAAAGAAGAGAAGCCTTCTTCTATTTGTTGAAATACAAATAATTTTAATTATCAACACACAAACTACCTTCCTTTAAGTTTCTTTTGTCAGATTTTTCTGATTAATTTATATGAAAACAATTTTCAAATTTCAGGAAATTAAGGTTTTTGATCCTTTGAGGTTTATTATCTGGTCTCTGAAAATGGCTATTTTCCTTTTTAGCATTAGTAATGTAATAAGAAATAGAACTCAACAAAAAGTTAGGATCAGGAGGTCCAAACATGGTTAGTCTCACTCATGTATTACTAACACTGACAAACTGTGGAACTAGTTCTTCAAGAGACTACACCTAATACCAGATGGTAGTTTACAAAGAAGCAGATTACTACTCAATATACTGAAATTTGTAATGCCTACTTCAAACCAAATAGGAACATTCTTTCATTAAGTGTTCAAACTGAAGGCCTCATTTAGAACCACAGGAATAAACTGCAGAAGGTTGCTGGATTAAATAACAACATCACTTAATAATCTTCCAAATCTCATTGACATTGTAAATACTACACCATATTCACCAATAACAGTAGTTAAAACCAATCTTTGAAAATGTAATTGTCTTCTTTAAAACAAGCCTTAGAATATAAATATGGGCTCCTTAAACTACAAAACAAAAAACAAAACCCACACCCTTAATTTACTGGGAATATGCTACATCTAAATTCCATTTGGAAACTACTGCTATGAAAAAGCAATCTTCCCTTTAAATTCAGCCATTTATTCTGAACTTAAGAGTATTTCCAAACTACAAAAAATTGAAAAGATATAGGTCAAATAATCCAGGATGGGCACTAAGCATTGGTATTCTTTTAAAAGCTCCTCTGGTTATTCTAATGTATAACCAGGACTGAAAAAATGGCCTAAAGGCTACATAAATGATGTCTCCTTTAACTATCAAGGTCACACTACAATTTAAAGTCATGCATAAACTGGATTAAAACAAATAGCATCATTAAGACAAATTGACATGCTTTACCTAAAGTATACTACTACTGCTAATACTTTCTAATGACATTAACCTATGCCAAAAAACAAACAATAAAAACCTAAGCTATAGTTGTAATAACTTGGACAGCAAAGACAAAAGCTTTTAACAAGGAACAGGAGTTTTTCTAAATGGTTCACCAGTGGCCAACCTGTTAGTCCCCGATTCCAGTGACCTATTCTCAGAGCACTGGCTTCTCCTTGGGGATTTTCGATACTTCACTCACTGTTGCCATGACGACAGCTTCATCTCTATGTACCACTCCACATCACCCAGGCTTTGGTAAATGTAGCTGGTCGCTGTATAGTCGGTTGCAAGGGAAAAAAGAGTTGAAGTTAATAACATATACAAGTTACCTGTTTGAGTAAACTTGTAATATGCATAGAAACACTTTTACATCCTGCTTTTAAAAAAAGGCTTCCATGCAACTAACTCCTTTTAAATTTCATGCTATAATCAACCGGACTTCTCTTAAGATTGAAACAAAATCAATTTCTCTGTAATCATGATCAAAAAAAGCACTGTTACATCAGACACAGCAGTCAGGTAGGATTATTTTATATCAGACACAGCAGTCAGGTAGGATTATTTTAATTTCTAAGATTTTTAAGAGTTAAAAAGGCATGACAGGAAGAAAACTCTTAGGCTCACAGGAAAATTTCAAAAGATAATCATATGTGGTTACATAATAGTTGGCTCAATGGTTCAAAGAATCCTATCAGAAAATTATTTCCTTCAAGCAAAGTCCTTTCAGTAAGGATAAAGAGCTCTGTATTAGAATCATTTGGTTTTAAACACCCTGAAGAATCAGCCAAATATCTAAATACAAATTTAAGCTCAGACCACACTAAATAGCACTTCTGTAAGCTTTCCAATTCCCAGAGATTCCTCATGAAGAAACTAAAGAATATTTTTAAATAATAAATTACTCTATCCTTGGACAGTTAGAGTGAATGAGAATAGATGTGGAAGAAAAAGTATGTAAGAAAACTGAAAAATGCTGTGAGAAGTATCTGGATAGCAATGTTTCAGACTTTTTGGCTAGGCTAATCATTTTAAAGTTACTTTATCATTTGTTTGTCTGAATAGCTCCATTACTGCCAACTTACAGATTCAACCAATAAGGACTACTTATGTTAGACACCAACTTAGCACTAACCAACGCCCAACCCACAAAACAATTTATAATCCTTTTATAACTAATTTCCTTTTGAACTCAACACAAGTTTGTCTAACATCACCACAATTCCTTAAAAGATGAACACAAGAACTAATCTACACCAAGAACATCCTTTCTGCAGGATGTACTAGAAATCACCTGTAGATGCAGAAAATCCTGAAAAACTTTTTGGTACTGCCTCAGAGGTGCACGTAAGGTTAATCATGGTATCGCAACACCTGTAAGATACTACACTTTGATCTCTGCATATTCCTACAAATTTGAGTAAATGGGCCTTATCTAAATGCAACCCAATCAATCTTAAGTTATTTTTCTAACCCACTCACTAAGACTGTATCTGACCAAAACAAAATACCTGTTTAATCCCTTTGACTTCAACTTCAAACTTTATCCTGAAGTCCTTTCACATCCGGTATTATTCGATATATCGTAGTTCAATGTTGAGAAGTATTCTAACAAAAGCCAACCTCAATTGATAAAGAATTAACTGGGACTTCGAGTAGAAAAACAATCTACACAGAACTTGCCACAATATTAACTTGAACTACAGTGTTTAAACTTCCACCCTTCAGTCTTCCACAGGGAAGGGGAAAAATAACTTACAGAATACACTCACACTTGAGCCCAACGTACTCTTGTTTAATCTTAAGCCACAGGACTGGTTTCACAGCAGTGTTAGCATTGTCCGTAAATGCAACTGCCTCTACAAACTTTAGGTAGCTGGTTAATTATGCTTTTTAAAAAAATTAATTTAAATATCAGTGTGTTCCTATATGGATTTTAACACCTAAATTAAAATTAGTTTTCTTCTGCATTGTATTGACTTGAGAGGAAACATGTTTTGACTCGATGACTGATGCAGGGTACACCAGTACCAAGAAATGCTATGTTCAATAATGCCAATCTTACCTTTTTCCTCTTAACTGGCGTAGATGATGGAATACATTAATCACATCTCTTATCCTTCTAGGTGCTTCTTCGATTTTTGATGCAAGATTAATACAAGCCATGGCAACAATCTGAAATTACCCACGAAGCCACAAAAATAACCATTAGATTACTGAACTGTAAAGTTAAGAAAAAGCGTCCTGCGTCGCCCCCACCCAAGGTCTAACGAACTCATTTTGATGAACAAACTTTAGAACGCAATTGGGACAATCTTTGATAAAATAAAATTCAACCTGCCATTTCTAAACCACAGGCTTACCCGCTATGCTAGTACTATACTCTATTACTCAACCCTTCTTTAATTTTGGATCCAGAATCAAGCTCAGTCTCACGGAACTTCTGCATTTGGCTGAAAATTCTAAGTCTTGATAAAAAGGCACCTGGACTCAAGATCCATTTTCTAGATCGGGAAACATTCTAAAGGTTGCCACTTCCCGGCGAAGAAGAACTAGGTACAAAGGGCCTACACTAACCACTCCCTTTCTGGAAAAGCTGACTGCTGACACACTCAAGATCCATTTTCTAGATCGGGAAACACATTCTAAAGGTTGCCACTTCCCGGCGAAGGAGAACTAGGTACAAAGGGCCTACACTAACCACTCCCTTTCTGGAAAAGCTGACTGCTGACACTGCCCCCCTCCTTCCCGTTTCCGGATGAAGAAATCGCTTTGCCCCCTCCTCCGCTGTGCTTACCTCGAAACTGTGTTTGACGAAAGATTTGGAGTAGAAAAAACGATGAAACAACACCTGCCCGGTTGCCATCGCCACCTGCAGACAAGAGAGAAGAACGGAAGCGCAGGGGTCAGGCGGGCCCGCAACCAGGCGCCGCCGCCATTTTGTGCCGCCGCTCGCTTCCCCTCCCCCTCCCGCAGCCGCGCACAGCCCGCGGCCGGGTCCTCCCTCCGCCTCCGCGCCCCCCGTCCAGGCACGCCCCGGCTCCCGCTGGGGGCCGAGCAGGAGAGCCCGCGGGAGCGGTCCCCACCCTGCCGGGACGCGGTGGGGAGGCGAGGCGCGTCCGGCCGGCCCGGGGCCGGAGCACTGACCTGCGGCAGCCGGGGGAGAATGCCGGCGGCCTGGATGAGCTCGCAGCCCAGGATACGCAGGTCTGTTTCACTGGGCAGGTCGAGCCCGTCCTGCATGGACGGGGTGGGTGACAGCCTCTCCTCCGGAATCAATGAGTGGTCGATGGTGAGCGAAACTTCCGAGTACAGGCGGTCGCCGATCAGGATCCCTCCCGTCGTGGTCGTCGTGGTCGTCGTCCCGGAGCTGGAGCCACCCGCGCTTGGGGCGGCCGATGAGGCGGCGGCGGCAGCGGTCGCTGTCGGGTGAGGCCCGGACGCCATAATCTCAGCGAGCTGCACGCAAACCCGACGCAGCCGGAACCCGGACCGAGACTAACCAGCGTTCTCGGCGCGACGGATATTCCCGTGACCGCCGGGTTCTGGGCCGCTTCACGCGGCGTGCGCTTCCGCCCTGACGTCACTACGTCCCCCGGCGCGCGCCAACTAGTCCCTGCAGGCCGCGTCCCCTCCCCCGGCGCCTCCGGCCGCCGGCGCGGGGAGTGCCGCGTGCTACCCGGTACGCTGGGGTCGACCTCACGGTCTCTGCGCCTGGGGTCCCGAGTGGTCCAGGGTGCCAAAGGGTCCAAGCCGCCTCGTTTGTAATATATTTAGCCACAGAAATAATCAGGGAGCTTTACAAGATACTTTATCCCCAAGATAGAGTTGAGCGGTTTTCTAATTTTCCTGAAACCTGCGTCCCTCTCCTCCTTCTGTGGCCTCCTAACTTGTCGCTTTAGCGCGGCGCAGGTTTGGCAGGTCGGGTCGACCCTCACCTGCATTGGCGGGTGGAAATGGTAACTCTGGTGTGCTGTATGGACGAATTTGTAGTTTAAAGTGGCAAGGAATCTGGAGAGGGCTGCCCGTCAGTATTTTTAGAGGGCAGGACTGTGAACCGTAGTGGTCCCCCAAAACTGCTCTCCGAGGGGCAAGTGGTTCCCAGTGGTGTGGAAGTAAGGCGAAGGCATACTAACGACTGGGAGGGCGGCTGCTTTGTGCTTGGGAAACTCGTGCTCCGCCAGTGACAGCGCCACAGCTCTCGGTAACCTGGAAAATCCCTGGTTTCCAAAAATAGGCTTAGTCTTTACAGAGGTCATTTGATTATGCCGGGGAGTCCGTGTACTCATATGTGGTTACCGCAGTTAGGCCGAATGCGAGATAATAATCTCATGGGGTTTTTGTCCTCAGTGATATTAGCAATTCCCAAATATTTTTTTTTCAAATTTGAAATGAAAACATACTGATCTGAAACTACTACAGACAATCTAGAGTTGGAAGGAATGGAGTACATCTCAGTTTACTCCAATCATTTTATTCCGCGCGTGAACCTCTGAGAGGTCCTCATCCGGGGATTAGAAACATTACCTTTCTATTACATAGCTGCGGTGTTTTTTGTTTTGGGTTGGTTTTTTTTTTAAGGCTTAATTTGCTTAATTATGAAAAGTGTATTGAAACTTGAATCTGTAGAGCAGTGGGAATTTGAATACATTTCAATGAATGTCAGTGATGTCACCAAAGCAAAACATTTTCAAATGCCTCATTTTAAAAAAAGCGTTATATCAGCCATACTTAGTAAATCCTCTATGTCAATGGTTATGAATGTAGGCTGCGCATTAGTATCTCCTGAGGAGCTTTTAAAACAGGATGCCTGAGCCTTACCTGCAAAGTTTGATGTAATTGATTTGGGGTGGGCCCAGCCAGCGGATTCTCATTGGAAAATTTTGCCCATTCTCCAATGATTGGAATGTCCAGCCAAAAGAATGTAATTCTTACTAAAGCATTTAACCTTTCTGGATGTCACTTCCTTCACCTTTCTGAGTAGGCTGCTTCCAGTAATCTTCCCTCCCCAAAATTCAGGAGAGATTTAAAATATAACTTTTAAGGTATCCTGTTTCGGGCCGGCTCGTGGCTCACTCGGGAGAGTGCGGTGCTGATAACACCAAGGCCCCGGGTTCGGATCCCATATAGGGTGGCCGGTCAGCTCACTGGGTGAGCGTGGTGCTGACAACACCAAGTCAAGGGTAAAGATCCCCTTTCCTCCGGTCATCTTTAAAAAAAAAAAAAAGTATCCTGTTTCTTTAAAAGCTGATATGGCAGTTTCCTGGTTTTGATTATCTATGGTTGTGTAAGATACTATCATTGGGGAAAGTTGGGGAATGGCACAGGAGAACTCTGCTATTTTTGCAACTTCTTCATTTCAAAATAAAAAGTAAAAGACAAAAACTCTAATTGATTATATACTTAATTGAAGTCACCACCTATATATGTAATGACTTGTGAGTAATACAACTTATTTTTAAGACTATTTCTTTTTTTTTAAAGATGACCGGTAAGGGGATCTTAACCTTTGACTTGGTGTTGCCAGCACCATGCTCACCCAGTGAGCTAACCAGCCATCCCTATATGGGATCCGAACCCATGGCCTTGGAGTTATCAGCACCACACTCTCCCGAGTGAGCCATGGGCCAGTCCTAAGACTATTTCTTAATGGCATATTTCTCCTCTTTAGAGAGTCTTCCACCATGCCTCTCCAATAAGCTGACTTTGTGATGTCTTGATGTATTTTATAATATATTTTTACCCTCTAGGTTCATGATTAACCCAAAGAAAAGGTTCACAGGCTTAGGAGAGAGAAGTCCTGGGCCCGGGGTGGGGTGTGTGTGTGAGAGGGAGTGTTGTTATTCAGTAGTGTACATCTCTACTTCTGTTATCTTTACCCAGGGTACCTCCCTGCTCAGTACTTCCTGTATCTGGCCATCATTTGCAGAAGAGCAGAACCACTCAGAATAATCCCTCAACGTTGTGCCTATTTTCCACTCCTTCCTACTATGTCCAGAAGATATGATTGTTTTCACTGTTTCTCCCTTCACTTTCAATAAAAGTGGAGTGGGTGGATCAACATTTTATGTATTTGCATAGCATTAACTCAAACTGTGATGTTACTTTTACTTTTATTATTTTTTTAATCCATGACTAATCAAGGATGAGGAGAGTAGGGCTAGTGGCTCCACTCCACAAGGTTGTCTAAGGATGGGGGTGTAAAGTAAGGCAAATCATAACTAAAGCCAAAATGTTTCGTTATTTTAGTTCTTATTTTAATTATACTAAGTTTCCATTTATATTGTCAGCTAGGGCTCAGACCCTTCAAACCCATTGTACAGACTGGATCCCCAGACCCCTCACATGCAGGTCCATGCTAGGCAATTGAGAAAGATTCTGGGAGCTGTTGGCAGATGACATGAGCTCAGTCCTCAGCAGTAGCAGCAGCTTACGGGTCCGATAGCTTATAAGTCTGGCAGCTTACAGGTCCAGTGGTGGTGGTGGCCTTGAGGAGGGTCTCAGGGGCACTAGCAGCAACAGCCTCCAGCAGCAGTAATGGCCTCCCCATGGGCCACTCCCCGCCACACCCCGGGAGGGGGCATCTGGGGAGGTGGGAGGCCGTAGCACCTGGATCAAAGCCACTCATCCTTTATACTTAGGTCCATAACCCAGGACACCTGGGTGCCCATACACAATTACATTAAATAGTAACAAGGAACACCTGAGTATATTTACAGCACATGCTCAGCAAGATTCTGAACATCTAAGGGGCCCTGACCATTTTCCTATATTTTCCCAACAGGCGGTTAAAAAGAAAATTATTGGGCTGGCCGGTTAGCTGAGGTGGGTTCAGATCCCCATCTGGCCAGCCACCTCCCTCCCCCCCCAAAAAAAAGAAAGAAAAATATATTATGACTCTGTTCTATCCTTTTCAGTGTGAAATTCTCCCAAAAATCATAGTTTGGAAAAATTGTTTTGTTTCAAAGTTATTTTGAGAAGAGTTGTTTTTACATGTACCTGCTTCCAAGACATTAACATTAAAATATGGAAAAACTAAGTGTGTATTTTAAGCTACCAAGCTTGTTGTAATTTGTTACAGCAGCCCTAGAGAACATACAGTGACCTTAGGTCCTGCAAATAACGATAAACTTCAGTAGTATTTTTATCTCATTAGCAATGTAAAATCAGATAAGCCATATTAACCACATTTTTTATGCTGTCAGATGTAGGCTACCAGCCTTAAGCCAGGGAAAGCTTTGTAATGAACGATAAAAGCTTGTCTGTCTTAGTTTTCCTGACTCAAAGTGAGACGGCCAGTGAGAATCATAGGTGGAAAGAGGTGTAGGGGAGAGAAGACTCTCTGCCTTCTGAAGTTTCGATAATCGAGTCTATGAAATAAACTGACAATAGGTCAACAGGAGAAAAACCATTTTTTATTTTTTCCTTTTTGTCTTTTTTCGTGTCCGGCAACGGATCGCAACCCTCAGTGTCGCACCCATACCGGACCGGGACCGGCAACGGGATCGCAACCCTCGGCGTCACACCCGCACCTTGCTCAGCCAGTGAGCGGGAACCGGTCTGTATGTGGGATCCGAACCCTTGGCGGGAGCGCCGCCGCACTCCCAAGCGGCGCACCGTAGCAGTGCGCCACCGGGCCGGCCCAGAGAAAAACCATTTTTAATTATATGCGTATACACGGGAGTCCCACAAAATATGAGACTCAAAAAAGGATCAGTTGATTAAAACTTATATAGCAACCTGAGCTACATAAAGGAATACGAGCCTGGGGCTATGGGGGAGGGTGACTATACAAGTTATAGGAGGATAAGGGAAGGAAATGCATGGCGTTCAAAGATTGTCTTTGTAAGCAGATAAAAAGTCTCAGGTAATAAAAGTTGTCCTGGAGCATCCCTCAGAAGAGTAGTCTGTGACAAAGTCTGTCTGGGCATGGTATCTCATCTTTCCTGGTTGATGAGATTCCCAGGGAGGGGACTGATGACAATTATATTTCTTATGTCTTTAGTCAGATAAAGGAACTTCAGAGAAAGATCCTTCCTATGATTTGTGGGAGAAAAGGGGGAAAGAGACAAGAGTGCAGGGGAAGGCCAAAGAGACCTTGGTTCTCCTTTAGTTCCACACACTGACCATGCCAAAGCGCCATGCTTTGGGTTATCATTTTTTGAGCCCCCACAGAAGAAATACATAGAATGTATATACCTCCACTAGGGGAAGTATCCCATCACTTAATAGCTATGTGACTTTAGACAAATTACTTAATTTGCTTAAATTATGTAGACCATTATTTTAAGTTTTCTCACCAATAAGATGATATTAATAACATCTACCACAAAAGATTGTGGTCAGGTAAAGTGGTTATAGATTTGTTTATTCATTTTCTGGTCCTTGGGAATGCAAACTACCCACCCGGTGTTGTCCAGTAGTTAATGTCTGTTCTGTCCCAGGGACTTTTAGTATATCAGCTGTGAAGCATTTTGTTCATTCATTATCATTAATGTCTTATTTATTGACTGACAACTAAATACCAGGCTCTATTCTAGGGTTGGGGATATGGTGATAGACAGGAAACATTCTACCTTCAAGGAGTTTGCAGATAATACATAGATTTGAAAAGTGATAAATTTGGCAAATGCTTTGTAAAAAAGAAGTTGGAAGGATCTCTGAGATATTAAGTGAACTAAAGGAAGTTCCAGCACACTATGTGTAGTGTGATACCTTTTGTATGAAATTAACAATATGTATATATTATATAGAGATATATCTATCTAGAAGGATAGATATGCTGTTACTTCATGGGAAGGCAATGAGCTAATTTTGGTGAAAAACAGGAATACACTAGGAGGCAAGGAGGCTTTCATGTTTTACTTTGTATAGTTCTGTATTGCAGTGCTTCTCAAACTATAATGAAGGAATAATTCTTGCAACCTGGTATGGAATGATACTTTTATAAAATCCAATAAAGATGAATTGCTAGTAAAATCAATTTTTAAAAAACATTGAAAATGCAAGCTTGAATTGTTTATCATTAGATTCAACGGATAAAGTTATTCTGTCAACTTGCCATAAACGTTTCTGAACATTTACTCTCAATTTCTGCATGTATCTCATTGAGGACTGGTAACAGTTCAGAGTTAGGTGCTGGTCCACTCTTTGAGTGGCTTATTTTTTGATTTTTTTTTTTTAAACCCTGAACATATATGACTTGTATAATTGCAATTAATTGCTTTGGAAAAAAATTCCCATTCAGTCTGATAATAATAGAAATACGTACAAACACAGAAATGGTTCAGAGGACGGAATAATTTTATGGGCAAGCAAAGAAGGTGACAAAAAGGAGGCAATTTGTGATCTAAGTCTTAAAGACTATATACATAGGCATTTATCAGAAGGATAGGTGTGGAAGAACATTTTAGGCAGAAAACAGGAACCAAGACAGGGAGGTATATTACTGGGTGTTGAGAAATATACTGGCCATCTGTTTGTTTTAGCCTGCCCAGCATTCAGTCTCCCTTCTAAAGTTTTCCCTTGGGGACCCACAACTTCTCTATTCTCAGCAAATGTGGTTTGGGTGGGGCTGACCTCTTCCCCAGTTTGTGAGCTAATGGGCATCTCCCATCCCCTTCCTTCCCTCACAGTGATTGATTCAGGAGGTCAGTCAGGTCCAGGACTTTTGCTAAAACCATAACAAGGGGAGGAGAGAGAAGTGCTTGCTCCTGTTGGGATTGCTGAGAGGAGGATGTAAACCCAGAGCTACTGACTGCCATCTTGACACAGGAGAAGAGAACCAGTTTGAGAATGAAGCCAGCAGATGAGCGGAAACCAGAACTAGAAACAGAATCCAATGACTTAGTTTATGCCCCTGCACATAGTCATATCCTATATTCTACTCCTGGGATTTTCAGTTAGATGAAGACATAACTTTGTTTTTATTCATTTAATCTTAAATCCATTTTAACTGAAAGACTGATACAAGGGATATTATTGCGGTGTGCTAGAACAGTGTGTGTGTGTAATGTGGCTGCAGAGGTGGGCTGGTATGTGAAGGGCTGAGGAATAGGCCCTCATTTCAGGGGGCTCCCACGAGCTCTGGAGGGTTTAAAGCAATGATTACCTCAACAAGAAAATCAAGAGAGCATGGTGCAGATAACACCAACGTCCAAGGTTCAATACTGGCCAGCCCCCCTGCCCCCCAAAAAACCCAAAAACCAAAAAGACAAAAAAAAAAAAAAAAACCCAAACCTATAAATTAGAAACTTTAATATTAAGAATATTTAGTTCTTCAAGCTTTTCTAGTAGTTTCATTTTTGCTACTGTTTCACTCTAATGATGCCAAAACTTGAAAACATGAAGGGAAGGGCTAGGGAACTGGTTGGGGCTGGAACAGTGACTTTGGGGTTTGGATATGGCTGTGGACAATTAAAAATAGAAAGAACCTAGCAAGTACCTGAAAATGATATTTTAAAAATGATTCCATTTTCCTTCTAAGAATGAGAATTATAATTTTATTTTGAGCAATGAAGTGGCTGACTCCTTTTAGTCATGTTTTCTATGTCTAATAAACACTCAACACAAGCAAACTTTCCTGAAGAGAATTTTAGGAGTAATAAGAATCAGCGTTTCTTAAGCTCCCTACACATTTTAATGAGTTTTCTCTGAGGAACACATTTATTGGCCATTCTGAACATTATAAAACAAAAACAAACGAACAGCACATCAAGCTCCCTGCATATAGTTGTGTCTCTTTTGTACAGAACAATTCCCTGACTTCTTGTCTTTTATGATATTTTTCATGATTCCAGGCCAACTATCTTGAAGCATGTCCTTCAATTTGTATTTGTCTGATTGTTTCATGATTAGATTCAGATTTAGGTGCTGTTGTATCCTCCATGCTTCACATCAAGGGGCCCAGTTATTGTCTAATTTTGCCCAACTGTTAATTTTGATCATTTGGTTAAGGTGCTGTCTACCAGATTTCTCCATTGTAAAAGTACCTTTACAGCCTTGCAATTAATATGTAATCTGTGAGATGATTCTTTAACAATAAATAGCATTTTAATACAGAT